ATACATGCATACATACATACATACATATGTGTTTGTATGCATATATATGTGTGTGTATGTATGTATATGTATATATATGTGTGTGTATGTGTGTGTGTATATATATACATATATATATGTATATGTATATATATCTACGTATATGTACATAGATGTTTTTAGTGTTTTAGTGTTTTTAATGTTTTTAGATTGATTTTACATCTAATTTAAATAATGTACCTTACTTTTGCTGGTCAATGACTGTAATAAAACATTTATTATTATTAAGGGAGGGGGGGAAGCACATCAGTTAATTTCATTTGCTATGATTTAAAATACAGATTTTTGAAATTCAGCAGGGATGGGATAAGAACAAGAAACTGCTGGAGTGGACAGGAATGTCTCAACTCACCTCCTTCACACTGTTATTGCTGCATTTCTAAGTCTCACCGCTTTTTGTATTGATTTTGTATAAACTCTCAACTGAGATGAGACCTTCCGGGAAAGTTTCGCCTTCCTTACGGCCACTCGTTTGAACCTCTGGCTTCCCTTCCTAATCGGAGCCTCAGCATCATTGCTGCATGCTTGATCTGTCACGATCACACATACCAGTTTTAGGTGACGTGCCCTGCAAAAGAACTCAGCGCCATCTGATTCCCTCTAATACAGAGGAGATAATGAGCCACATGTTCTCTCTTTTCTAGAATCAGAGGCATGGCATTGTGTAACCACATTCATTTTTGGGGGGGGAGAAAAGAAGCATAAAGGTGAGGGGTGGAAGTATGCAAACTAGACTGATTATCTCTGACCGGTGACACTGTAATGACGGGTTGGCCCGTTTTCTATTGAGCAAGATTGAATCGTGGATCATCTCTGAATGATTCCCGCAAATTAAATTGGCCTCATCTCAGGTCTTAGCCCTGCAGCTGTCCATCCAAAAATACTTACCAAAATGCAAGATTAATGACTGCTGGAGATTTAATTTGCTAATACCTGAAAGAGCCACAAATGGAGTTTGGGAGACTTACGAAGTGGTGGAGAAGCAATGGAAGCAGGCGTTCTTATGGCTGTTAGAATCAAACTGGTGTGTGGGCCCAGCCACTCATTAAACAAATCCAGAGGGAGAAAGGGCTCTTTGATTTCTTTGCAAACCATCCAGAAAGAACCAACTGTTAAGGTTTTTTTTTTTTAATTGATTGGCAACACAACACAAAAGCTTTGCATCCTCTTTGGCTTATTTGTCTCTTGCTATCCCTCCAGTTAGAAGCACCACTGAGGACCGCCGTGCTCTCTTGCATTCTCTCAGAAGCACAGAACAATCACTCTTTCTTCCTCTGATGGTTTGATCCCTGTTCATTCAGCCAACAATCGTTCTTCAACTTCTCTATAGTTTTTCTTCCCTCCCCCCCTCTTCCTAATGAGCCAGCTCTTGTTTACCGTCTTGTTCCTTTTCTTCCATTTGCGGTGTTTATTTTAACGTCTGCTGCTCTAACTCAGCGCTAAAACACAACGGGCCTGACAAGGGATTCAAATATTTAATTCATTTAAATGTATAGCCTTTCTAATCCCTGCTGGTGGAAAACAGAGCGACATATATCAGACAAGACATCTTTTGTATGGCGTCCAAAAGAAAAGGAAAACATTCCTACATAGTTAAGGCATGCTTCCCATGGATACCCCATTTTAAAAAAAGCTAGACACCATTTCTGGGTGGGGTGGGTGGTGCCATCACTAGCGAGCATCCATCCCATGATCAGATATGGTGATTCCATGAAAAGGCAAAAGGTGTTTATTTAATTTGTGATTATATTCACATTGCTGCTGGTTTATGCAGGACAGGCTGGTGGATAGGGTCCTTTATATATATAGGGTTTCTGTTACCAAAGGACAAACCAAGAACACCTCCTGTGATACCTTAAAGACAAAGGCCAGTATCCTGTCAAAAACCTTATTTGAGCACAACTTCATAAGTGGCTGTGCTGTTTAGTGAGATATCTGTTGCACGGATGGTTGAAACCACTCCCACAGTGTTAGGGTCTGATCAAACAATGACCTAGCTCGCTTTTAGATCACTCGTGGCATAGCCCAGGGCAAGCAGTTCCAGATGATGAACTGGAAATATCAAACCAGCCTGATCCTGCTCCGTGCCCAATCCAGACCTTTTTAGTCCAGCCACAAGGCTACCCTTTTTTTTGGGAGCTGGTCTGGAGCAATGCCTGCACTCATGGTAGGATTGCTTTAAGGATGATGACGCAGAGACTTGTTTCCAGTGCAATCAGATGTGATCCTCTATTGCCTTCTGGTCGCACCCGGTGTTCACATGGAAACCCCCAACAGGATACTAACCAAATAAATCAGCGATCATGACACCTTTTCATAGACTACTGTTCAGTTTCTCAGCGAGTGTTAGCCAGAGTTTCACACCTCTATATTTACCTTAAGGGATGGGATGTTAGACAGGGAGGCCAGAAGGAAATCAAAGGCAGAAAGTACTGACTATTGCTGGTCATTTACAAAACTATTGCTGGTCCCACAAACATAATGTCACTTGCTAACCCTTTTCTGTGGACTTTTGCATTGCTATACCAAGGACCAACCAAGTCACCTGTTAAGGGATGTGCCCATTCCTTGCCATTTATTTACTTTCTATTCTGCTTCCCCCCCCCTTATGCGAGGCACCACTGTATTTACTTTCTATTCTGCTTCCCCTCCCCTCCGAACAGCTGTTACATATCTCTTCCAGGTTTGCGGTTCCATCCGGGCTCCGGGCCTGAGCAATGAGGCGTGCAAATGTTGCCTGGCTTTTACTGTCCAATGTCCAATCACAAGCCAACAGCCAGCGAATGGACAGCCTGGGATTGCTGCCCAGGTGAGACAAGCATTGATGAGACCAGCACCTGCACAGCGAAGGCAACCCCCAAAATGGCAAGAGGTGTTAAGCAGATTTAGAGGCTTCCCTTTGTGCCCTTTGTCCAGCCGAAATGAACACACAAAGGAAAAAGTATGCAGCCAGTTAATTCTATAGCCATTGTTTGGCTTTGTTTTGTTTGGTTCTGTAATGAGCCAGGACCTTCTCCTCTAAGCATTGGCAGACTGAGCAACCTTGTTGAGTGAGGTCTCATCTTGCTTCAGCCAAGCCGCTGGGCAAGTTTTTATTGTGTGTGTTGGACAGCACTAAATTGTATAGCAGATTAAACATCTGCTGACGAATTTGATATGCATTTGCTGGATAGTGGCTGGATGAACTCTTGGATAAAGGCTGCAAGATTGAAGGAAAACCCTTTTGAGATGAGAAGTAGCTATTGGGGGGAAGCATCTAAAGGTAGTATTATTATTTTAGCATTTATATGCTACCTTTTCACTGTGTAATTAGCCCTCAAAACAGTTTACAGTTCATACAGATACACAATTATTAAGATACAGAATGAACAATCTGCTGTGTGCTTGTTTTGCCTGGACAGGTTACAATATCAAAGAGGGACTGTTTGATTACTAAAAATTGACCCCCTGCCTCTGATATCATCAACCTTCTGCAGGTGTATGTTACGGAAAAGGATACCACCTTATAAACACTGTGCCAACAATATCTCAGGGAGATACTGATAATGATGTGTAATTTGCATCACCACATTTTTAAAAAATAGTGGTCAGAGAATCCTGTTACAAATTAACACTGGAGTCAGCCTAATGTCTAATATCTCAGGGAGATACTGATAATGATGTATAATTTGCATCACCACGTTTTTAAAAATAGTGGTCAGAGAATCCTGTTAGAAATTAACACTGGAGTCAGCCTAATGGCAGGAAATTGCCACTAATTAATGAGTTGCCACTTGCATTCTTCATTGCATGAAAGCAGCAATTGGTTAATTAGCAGCAATTTGCTGCCACAGTTCATGACATGCACTTATTTCAGCGTAAACCCCCAGTAGAATTCTGCCCAATGCCTTATTATCATTTTAAAATTAATAGCAAGCTGGGAATCTGTTCTGTCAGCACTCTTTTTACACCACTCAGTGCAGTAGCAGCATTTTGTGAATCCGCTATCCATACTCTGCATTGTTGTTCTTTTTAAACACTAGAAAACAAATATTTGGAGCCATCAACCAATAATGATACGAGTGTGAATACCAGAAATGCCAGCAAAAACAGACATTGTTAATGTGTGTTCCAAATTTTGGTTCGTTGGTTGTGCAGGATTATGTACCGTAGCTTCATCTAGCTCATTGCTTTCACACAGTCCACTGACTGGCAGTAACTCTTCAGAGTTTCAGACAGAGGTCTTTCCTGGAACTACTTGGACATTCCAGTTATTGAAAATGGGATCTTGTGCAGGCAGAGCATGTGCTCTAGAATCACACTAGGTTCCCACTCATTAAGAGAAGATGAAGCCATGGGCCTGCTACAAGATCTAATCTAGCTAAAGTCCTCTCCACCACTGATCTAACATACAGTGGTGCCTCGCTAGACAATTACCCCGCATGACAGTTTTTTCACTAGACATTGACTTTTTGTGATTTATTTATTTATTAGATTTTTACCCCACCCCTCTAGACAATGTCTACTCGATATAGCGATTCGCAAAACAGTGATTCCTATGGGGGAATTTCGCTGGACAATGTTTGGTCCCTGCTTCGCAAACCGATTTTTGCTAGACAACGATTTGCTTTTCGCTAGACAATGATTTTGCTAGACAGCGATTTCAGTGGAACGGATTATCATCGTCTAGCGAGGCACCACTGTATGCCCTATTCACATGACCATATTCCTCTCTACTCAAGTCATGCCCATTCTTCTCCATCCTAGATGCATCCAAGAACATGTCACGATTGCAGGTGCAATTACCACAATCAAGGTATCAGGAGTGAAGGCATCATTGCAGAAATTGTGAGAAGGGACAATATGAAGAAAGTCTACTTCGACTGGAACGTTGTGTAGTCTTTAGGCAGAGGAGACGGTCTTCCAATCTGGCAGTACAATCTGGTCAGAGACAGTCAGTAAGATAAAACAAAGAAACTTACTTCTCTGTGAGCGAGCACAACAGAAAGCCACGATGGTGGCCATCAGCACCAAGAATGCCACACCAGCTCCGACTGCCACACCTATGATGACTGCCATTGGCACTGACTCTGGAAAAACAAGAAAGCAAAAAAAAAAGTGGAGATGGGCTCTGGACGCCATTAACTTCTTCCCTCCTTTTCATGGTTCCTTACTGACTGCCGTAGACCCAGTTTGTAGATCTTCCTATTGTAACTCACTCAGATTTGTTCTTAACTGATAAAACACACACAGAGATTGTTGGATGAAACATAGTATGCTCAAAGAGGTTGAGTAGAGACCATGTTTGTTCAGGGGGAACACATACGGAGGAATGTGGCTCATGGAACTGACCTCTGGATCTCTCGTGTTCAGCAACATAAAGACAGGCATAGCTGGAAGAGGACAGGCTTGGGATCCATCGGGGTGATTAATTCAGTTTAGTTCTGATGATTTATTTGGGGACAACAAAGAGAACTGATGGGAACTAAGATCAGGGAAGTGTATATTCAAGCTGTGTGTATCTAACTGCACGTAGTGTCTCACCCCCAAATCATATAATTGAAAACATTGGGTGAAGGATGGTTCTCAGGTTTTGTTTCAAAATCATAAGGAAATCAATCTAGGTTGTATGAAGATCAGTTGGGATTTTTCAGGGAGGGGGACTCATTGGTGAGTCAGATTGAAGTTGCACCAGTGACTTGACTAGGACTCAACTTCGGGTATTTTTCAGTGGCTCAGACTCGACCCACCCACCCCGCTTGTTTTTAATAGGAACTCAGACTTGGGACTTGCTGCCAAAGACTTGGAAGTAAAGACTAGGACTTGGGACTCAGACTCAAAGTTAATAATATAATTCAAGATGGCAGGATTAATAAAGTGATAACAGGAGGGAAAGCCTGCCTAAAGAGCCAGGTCATAGATTTGCTTTTAAAAACAACCAGCAATGGAGCCAGGCAAATCTCTGTGGGCAGGCTGTTAGTCTAGCCTGAAGTCTACTCTGGGCGGCTAACAGTAAAACATAAAAATAAAAACAGTATAATAAAATAGAGGTGACATTAATAATATAATTCAAGATGGCAGGATTAATAAAGTGATAACAGGAGGGAAAGCCTGCCTAAAGAGCCAGGTCTTAGATTTGCTTTTAAAAACACCCAGCAACGGAGCCAGGCAAATCTCTGTGGACAGGCTGTTAGAAAGGTGAGGGGCCACTGCTGAGAAGGCTCGGTTTCTTGTTATTTCTCTCTGGGCCTCCCTTGGCATTAGGCCTCTTAGCTGCCTGTCCTGGCTAGAACGAGTGATTCGGGTAGATCTAGGTGGGATGAGGCGTTCCGCTAGATATCGAGGTCCTAAATAGTTTAGGGCTTTATATGTCATCATTAACACTTTGAAATCAATGCGGAAGTGAACGGGCAACCAGTGCAGGGCCGCTAAAGTGGGGAGAATATGTTGATATTTTCTCACCCCAGTGAGAAGTCTAGCCGCAGCGTTCTGCCCCATTTGAAGCTTCTGCATCAATTTTATTTATTTATTTATTGGATTTCTATCCCACCCATCTAGACCAAAGGTCTACTCTAAATTTCAAAGGTGGCACATTACAGGTAGAGCGCATTACAGTAGTCTAATCTTAAAACTACAAGCGCATGGACCAGAGTGGTGAGTGCCTCAACACCAAGATAGGGACGCAGTTGGGCAATCCGCCACAGATGGAAATAGGCAGAATGGACCACTGACACCACCTGGGGTTCCATGGTAAGCGCCTGATCCAGATGGACCCCCAAGCTGCAAAAAAGAGAGAGTTTCCCAAACCACCAATGGTGAGGCCACCCACCCTCAGGACCTCTGTCTTGTCCGGGTTGAACCTCAGTCCATTCTCCTGCATCCATTACAGAACAGCCTCTAGGCAGCACTGAAGAGCAGAATGGACCACTGACACCACCTGGGGTTCCATGGTAAGCGCCTGATCCAGATGGACCCCCAAGCTGCAAAAAAGAGAGAGTTTCCCAAACCACCAATGGTGAGGCCACCCACCCTCAGGACCTCTGTCTTGTCCGGGTTGAGCCTCAGTCCATTCTCCTGCATCCATTGCAGAACAGCTTCTAGGCAGCACTGAGGAGCCGGAACGGCATCCACTGTGGTTGGAGAAAAGGAGATTGTAGAGCTAGGTGTCATCAGCGTACTGATGACACAAAGCCCCACACCCCCTGATGACCTGACCTTGCAGCCTCATGTAGCTATTAAACAGCATTGTGGAGATAATCGAGCCCTGCGGAACCCCACAATTGAGACTCCATGGGGCCGATACACTCTCCCCAAGCTGTACTCTCTGAGGACAGTCCTCCAGGAAGGATCGGAGCCAAGCAAGCACCAGACCACCGATTCCCAACTCAGAGAGCCTCCTCAGGAGGATATCGGGGTTGACGGTATTGAAGGCGGCTGAGATATCAAGGAGGACCAACAGAATTCAGACTCCCTTGTTGCTATATGGTGCATTGCCATGCTTTCTCAGCCTTTAAAAACAACAACAACAGAAAGACAGGGCAGTATTGCATTTTTTTCGGTGTTTGCCAGATATACCACTATTTAATTCCCCTGTTCTGCAAGGATCCCAAATGTACCACACATTTAGCCCTACATAGGCAATACACATCTGCTCAAAGGAGATGGGGGCCTGGGTGCACACAAGGCACAATTCCTTTGCTCCCCCACCCTAACTTCCGTTTGTTGAGCTGTAAGGTCTGGTGAGGAATGCCAATGTCCTTTTGCTTGAACGCATGGACGTAGAAGCCTCTGCATTGCTGGGTGGTCATGGGGTGGGGTGGGGGTCATGTGTACTTGCAGTCTATATGGACATGCATTCCTTGCATATAGAATTCTTTGCATCTTGGGAAGAAGACTGGCATCATGCTTTCTCCATGGAGGGAATTTTCAGATGCTGGGGAAATGTTGCAGACTGAGAGGGTAGCAGCCCTGGATAGCTGGGCCCTGATGCGAAAAAGAGGATTGTGTGAAAAGCTGTAGCTGCTGGTAGGCGGGAGAAAGGGGGACGGATGGAGAAGCCCCTTTTTTTGCCAAGTGAGAACATTTCATTGTTTCATTGGGCAGACCAGGGACAGTAACCCTGCGGTTTATCAAAGTGGTGGCCGCAGTGTCAATCCCAGAAGCGGTGACCTGATCATGATTTTTAACTTTTTAAAGTCTTCCCCACCACCACCGCCCTGAGGCTCCCCGGGCAAAAGGGGGCCCAAGGGGAGCCTTGGGACCTCAGAAAGGGAGATACTGTAGTAAGCTTTCAGTTAGTGTAAGCTAAACCTTTCTGACTTGTGGCTAGGTACAAAATTACACAACAGGATTTTGCTCGATGTTTGTGTGTAGCTTTTTTTTGTGGGGGGAAGGCTAACTGGAAGTAACTAGGTATTCATGTCTGCTTTTAAAAAACACTGCAAACAAGGGCATTTTTGCTAAAACAAGCTTTGTTTGAGAAGCAAACACTTCTCAAGCATTACTTGGAGACGTTCGAGAATGTGCATGTCCATATTTTGAACAATGGAAGTGTGTGTGTGGGGGGATGTTACAAAAAACTGATAGAGATAGACCCTCTTGGTTTGCACAAGAGATACGTTTTACACAGTAGTACAGCAAGTTTGTTTTTTTCCCTAAAAAACAGTAATAAAAACGTATTGCATTGTCTTGCCTCACTAACATCTTTAATCAATGAGCATCTGCTTATACAACATGTAGCTCTTTTGAGGGAGAACGGTGTCATAAAATGAAATGAATCAGTGAATGAATGGGATGAAGAGTGAGTGGCTGTCTGGAAAATTTAGAAATCTTTTTTTTCTTTTAAAAAAATTGCTTGACATTAAAATGACCATAATTGCTTGGTTCCTACTTTTTTTATAACTGGTTTTCTTAAATGGCTTATGACTGAGATAAATTGAACTGAAATTTGGGCCGAGGACATGCTGTCTAAACTAATTGCCCCATGTCAGAGGATGTTCTGGAGAAAGTAGGTATGAAACATGGGAAACTGAAATAATCCAGCAACCAGCATCATTCAGAGTCCCTGCCTATTTATTTTGTATTTTCGCTCACTCCCTGACTATCAAGTCAGCTGTCCATCTTTCAGCCCTTGTTTAAGTCATGTACTTGGCATATAAACAGGAACCATATTGGTGGAAAAATCTGGCTGAAAATGACAGAGAAATGACAGAAGACGTGTGAGAGAGGGGGATGGTGTATTAGCCAAGACCTTTTCATTTCACCAAGCTTTCGATGTGATAATCCTAAAATTGGTCTCCCTTTGTGTTTAAAGGCTGAATTGCTTTATTGTGCTCTTTGTTTTAATAACTGGAGCTGTTTTAAGTGCAATTTGATTGTTTTAAATTGCATCTTACTGTAAATTGCTTTCTGTATTTTAGGATTTTTATAACCCACTCTGCACGTGTGTGTGTGTGTGTGTGTGTGTGTGTGTCTACTGTCTACCTACCTACCTACCTCTTAGCAACCCACTTCATGAGGATATTGACAGGTGTAAAGGGACAATCATATGTGCATCACCCCGATCTTCTTGGGGAGTCGAAGAAGTGCACAGATTTTGATATTTCATGGAAGCATATTAGAATGCAAATCTGAATCCAGTGTTATGTATTTCACTGCTCAGAACTCCAATGGTAGGATGGATGCAGGTTATTATGAGTAAGAAATGCATGTCCAGGATGTATTAGAGGAATGATGACTGATGGCTGGAATAATGGCACAAACATTCTGTCTGTCTGTGTAATCTCAGGGTTGCCAAGTCTTAGGGTACCGGCTGAACACTTAGAAAATTGCTGTTTCGCTAGTTCTTCAGGTGACAGTGTGAGCAGTGCTGTCCCAAATGGCAAGCTGGGCCCAAGTACAGTGGTGCCTCACAAGACGATGTTAATTCATTCCATGAAAAACGCTGTCTTGCGAAAACATCGTCTTGCGGAACGCGGTTCTCCATTGGAATGCATTGAAATCTATTTAATGCGTTCCAATGGAAAAATCGTCGTCTTGCGAAAATCGTCCATAGAAAACATCATCTTGCAAAGCGCAACAGCGATTGAAA